AGGAATGGCGGCGATATAAATGGGCCTTGTACAAACGTCCTTAATTCGCCTCTCTCCATAGGTTCATGACTTCTTGGGGGAACCGCCCCGATTACGACACTCCCTCCCTTATTTTATCACCCAAGTCTGTTTCCCCAGGTTCTTATTTGGAGCCTCTTCCTCTAGTCTTTAGGTCTCTCTCTGGCGAGGGAGGGCCACTCTCTTAGTAACATGAAACAGAATTTCCGGAGGCTGAGGCCCTGAATTCAGGATTTTAAAAAGATTCCCAGGTGATTCTAATGTGCAGCCAAGGTTGAGAACCACTGCTCTATGGGAAGTCGGCCTCATACATATTTACTCGGAGAAAGTGTTCTGATTTTTTGTGTGCCGTCCAAATTTGGTCGACCAGACATCTCATTGACCGGACTGTTACCTCCTTGAAGGAATGAACGTGATCAGATACGGCTCTGGGGCGAGGCCAGAGGGAAGCTAGTGAAGGTGGAGGTTCAGTTTGCAGGAGCGAATAGGGTGGGAAGGCAGACAGGTCAGGGAGACTGGAAAAGGTGAAATTGAACGCGCGTCCATAGAGAGTGGGAGGTGTTCGTTTTCCCCTGAAGTTTTAAATCCGTTTATAGCGTTTAAATTGCGATACATAGAGAACATTCACTCCAGTTGATGATGATTGTGGTTTTGTCCCAATTGTCACCTGAAAGGAATCTTAGGGGTGTTTTTCTGTTGACGTCACTGTTTTCTTTTGATTTCCCTGAATCTGATCAACGTGCCCTAAGGAACAGGAGCACTTATTTTCCTTTGTTCCTACTTACGCATGAAAGGGAAGAAACAGACTTTTAGGGGTGATTTAAGAAAAGAAAGAAAGAAAGCGGATGTGCTTTACAAATGCATATTGCTAAGAATCATAGTGTTTGGAATATAAAATGGGAAATCTGTGACCGGTACGAGGTGGGGGCTGGCTGAAGGATTCTGACTCGTCCAACATAGTGTTTGTTTAATTGCCTTTTCAGGTTGGAGTAGAAGGGAAGGCGGGTGGAACATCTCTGAGTGTAGCCTGGGCACCTCCCCCCGCCGGCCAGGGTGCTGGGTGCAGGGTGCTAAGACTAAATAGGAACAGACAGACGACGTGGATGTCCCCCTCGCTGATGCCATTACCTTAGGCCTGGCCTCGGTGGCCTCTTGAAATTGCCTCCACTCTCTGCCCCTCAAGCCCAGGGCCCAGCTCTATTTTGAAATAGGTGTTTGTCAATTTCTTCAAAACTATCACAAATTCCTCGCATTGATGACCTACGTTTCTACTGCTTGAGGTTTTGGGTCCTTTCTTCCGGTTCGATCGAGGCACGTCCGCATCCCTAGTTGCTGGGGGAGCTAGGTATCTCAGAGATGAGCTACAGTGCCTGGTCCCTAGTTCAGATCTGCCCCAGGTCAAGGTTGACAGAAAGTCATTACCATCCAGTGGCAGGTCGATAGCTCTGTGAAAGGAATCGGTGATTTCCGAGCCTCGTGGTGAGTTTCATGCCACGGCCGACCCTAAGGTGAGTCAGCTGTGGTTTTCGTTGGAAGAGAAAGGAGGAGCTCGATCGTTGCTAAATATTTCCATGGTTTCCCGTGAGCTCAGCCTCCTCTTGGAGAACCTGTGGCTGGAACGGCATGGGAACGCGAGGCTCGTGCTTGTGCTGCTCTGAGATTGGGGCCCGAGGCTCAGCCGCAGGGATCCCTGTCTGTCCCTGTTGGAAGTGAGGAACCGCTCAGCGCCACTAAAGTGACGTTACAGACGTGATCTCAGTCCCGGGTGGTGATGAAGTCAAGACTGAGAGTCTTATGTCGTTCACGTCTCCTGTTTCTTCTGCATATGTTTTTTTTATCTTTAATTTTCCTTTTTAATCATATTATTAGTTTTACCCATGTTTGAACATAGCCTGGCCCTTAGAGCGGCCCATGCAAGCTGTCAGTCTTTCACTTGGGAAACAGCGTTAACCAACAGGAGTAGAAAGTGGGGAGCAGACCCTGAGGACCCGGCATCTGAGACGGAGCACAGCGTGGAGGTCATGGCTGTGGAGTCCATTGGATTATGTGTGTTCATATCGATAGAGAAATCTTTCATCTTCTGCCGTTTTTTTAGTTTGAGATCATGGGAAAGGCTTTGTCTCTCTGATATCTTTACCTGCCCAGGCAGGCTGGCAACACTTTCTGATTGGGAGTCTCTTTAACAGGAAGCACCTTTCTAAAGGGGAACAAGGCCCATGTTTATGCCCGAGAGATTAGTGAGAGTGAATACAGCGTTTTCTTACCGCTGGAATATTTACCATCTGATTTTCTGTTGGGCTCAGTGATTTTCAAAAGGAACCCCACATTGTCGGACCGTAAGAATTTTTAAAGCCACCTCTAAGATTTTTACGATGTGAAAATACCTCAAGAATGATCCTAAGTGTGCCTCGTGTTAAAGATTTCTGCTGTGGACAAAGATGAGCAGTTGCAAAAAAAAAAAAAATACGACCATCGGGGCTTTTAGGAAACAAACTTGGAGGAACTTATCTGCACCCCCGTCTCTGTGGCTTCGAAGACCTTCCCCGCCCACCTCACACAGAAGACACTTGTTATCGCTGCTTAAAATTCCACTTTAATGCCGCGTCTTCAAAGGCGTTCTTCTGCCCGAAACACACCGGTGGTTTCCACGCTGTCTGAGAGCCAGGGTTCGAGAATTAGAAATGTAAATGGCCCGGCTGCCGTCGGCGCTCCCTTACCCTTTGCAGGTTCTGCGGCAGCTTATTCGACCTTACAGTCTCACCGGGGAGCTAATGGGAAAGCCGGCAGCGGTCTTCATGGGAGAGATTCCAAATGTCAAGTGTCATCTTTCCAGCTGCTAGACGAATGGGTAGCCACCAGGCATGCATTTGGGTGTGCAGCCCTGTGAAACCAGAGAGGCAGGCAGAGGCTGTAATTTGGTGGTTAGTTTACAGTATCGGGGGCTGCCGATCGGCTGGGCCGGCGGAGGACTTCATTTGGAGCTTCCGAGGTGGACAGCCGGCTGCCCTGTTCTTGCACTTAACGTGCCTTCAGGGGCGGAGCGGGTGGGGGAGCATCGTCAATGTGTCGTATTAATTTTTGAAAACCCCTCGGCTTCGGATCAGAACAGTGGTATCCACAGAGCTGGCTCCTAGTTCTCTAAACCCTCCTCTTCCACTGAGCAGGGGGTACGCGCTGTTCGAATGACAGCTGCACTGGAATCTCAAGACCTAGTGACAAAGTGTCCTTCCGTATTTAAGGTACAGCGCCACTCTTAAAGCCCTGTGTGAAAAGAAGGCTGATAGTAAGTCGCTGGCCACACTGTCAGGTTGAAAATAGTGAATTTCAATCAAATCCCAGTTATAAATCCTAATGGATCACGTTGGAAATAGAGATAGCTTCCGGAAAAGACCATCAGAGTTGGTCATGGCTAAATGCAGCTTCCACACTGAGTTTTGCCACGTGGTCCGGGTCTCAGAATCGAGGTGACGCCAGCCGGTTTGTCATGAGATGGAACTGGAGTTAGAAGGGCTTGGATCTCATTTTTATCCCTCTCCGGGGGAAGTAGTCAAGTCAGATGTGCTCACAGTCATTGGGGCCTGACGTCCATTTCGGGCACTTGTAAGTAAACATTCCGTGGGCCCCGTCATGCCCTCGGCAGACCTGGCCTCTCGGATGGCACATCCGGGTTGGTTTTTGGCGTCCGCCCTCGGTAATGTTTTAAAATCAGTATGAAGTAGCAGAGCCATGACACCATTTTCCTATTAAACATTCTGTCGGTAATGCAGCTTCGTGGGTGTGAAGGGGGATTTGTCTTTTTATATAACACCTGCATGTTGTAAGGTCATCAAGGAAAAAGAAGAAGAATGAGCCTGTATCTAATGGAGCCATCAAAACAGAGCCACCGAGCTGGTGATGGGAGAAGAAAGCACCATGACTAATAAGTAATTTTTATGCCTTTCAGTGACTCCGCGTAGGGTTCCAAACCTTTATTAAGTGGCAGCGTCTGACCTGAAAAGTAGTTGGAAATGAAATGGTCTCCATAGCGGCAGAATAGTTCCTTACCGACATAGCGGTAGATGGCTCCTTCAGGCAGATCATTCAGGATTAGGATGGGTCGGGGAAAAATAACTGAAAAATCCAGCCCACGCCGGACAGAGCCCGACTCAGTGAGAGCTGAAAGAGGAGAGACACGGGCGACTCGCAGGCGGCCACATGGGCTCTGGGTGCTGAGAATTCCCTGCTGAATCTGGGCACCTTGATGCCCGGGGCTGCTTGGCGCTAATGACAATGTCACCGGGGAACAGAGCACCAGCGCACATTCAAGTGCAAAATGGTTCAGTTGGAAGTTTTAACCAGAATTGTGTCCGTCTGCAGTGGTTGGGTCAAGTTGAGTCAGATACGGGTTATCAAGGATCCGCTGGGAAAGACACAGACGCAGGAAGTGCATGGGAAGCGGAAGTCTAGCGGATCCCTCCCTCACCCTGCTCCCGGGCCTTTGGGAAGGTCATGCTGAGACAGCACAGGGTTCCCACGCCAGGACTGAAACGCTTTCCAGATCTCAGGGACCTTCTCCTGAGCCTCACAGCCACCCTTCACAGCCGGTGGGTTTTTTTAATTACTGTTGATTTGAAAGAGAGAGAGGAAGAGAGGAAGAAAGGGAAAAATGTCAGCCTGTTACTCCACATAGTGATGCACTCACCTGTTGCTTCTCGTGTGTGCCCTGACCAGGGATCAAAGCACAACCTTGGTGCATCCGGACGATGCTCTCATCAACTGGGCTACCCGGCCAGGGCCCACAATAGGTGTTTTAAAGATGAGACCAGTGAGGTTTAAAGAGGCCTAACTGGCCCGGCTGGTGTGGCTCAGTGGCTGAGCATCTACCTATGAACCAGGAGGGCACGATTTGATTCCCGGTCAGGGCACAGGCCCGGGTTGCGGGCTCCATCCCCAGTGTGGGGTGTATAGGAGGCAGTCGATCCATGATTCTCTCTCATCATTGATGTTCCTCTCCCTCTCCCTTCCTCCCTGAAATCAATAAAAAAAAAATATATTTTTAAATAATAAAATAAATAAAGAGGCCTAACGGATAGGGTTAGGGTCGCAATGTGCCACTACCTGGTTTCTCCCTTCGTCCTGTCCCCACCCTCGCCTGTTTCAAAACCTTCTCCCAGAAACACAGGGCTCAGTAGGTCAGCACCAACGCCGGTGCCGCCTGGTAGGTTGTGGACTTACAGCGTTGAGCGTTTTATTCCAGGTCTTCAGATTTAAGGCCGCTGCTGTCACTGTTCTGAAATGTCAGCCTCCTTTATTTCCCCCCAGCACTCGCACCTCGACCGCTCGGCCCCTTTGTGCTCCGTGGACTTGCTGTCGGCACCACCCTGTGCCAGGCACCAGGCGGTTCTCTCGTTGGCCGTTGACATTGACATCTTGTCTCCACGGGTCACCACCTTTCCCCCTGGGTCTGTGAACACAGTCATTGTTACCCTCTTGATTGACACCTTGGAAATTTTGTAAACATGTTATATATTATTTGGGGGGATCCTTGGCTAACTGACAAGTCATTTCTTAAAGCCAGTTCACGATTCTTTCCTTCTAAAACACCCTTGGGCCCGGCCAGCGTGGCTCAGTGGTTGAGTGTCGACCTATGAACCTGAACCAGGAGGTCCGGATTCGATTCCCAGTCAGGCCACATGCCCGGGTTGCAGACTCCATCCCCAGTAAGGGGGCGTGCAGGAGGCAGCTGATCAATGATTGTCATTATTGATGTTTCTAGCTCTCTCCCTCTCCCTTCCTCTCTGAAGTCAATAAAAATACATTTAAAATTTTTTTCAAACACCCGTGGGTGCGTGATGCAGGGGCTCTGTGCCATGGGCCCTGCGCTGCTTCCTCATTGGACGGTGCTACCATCAGTGGGAGGCGAAAGAAACCAATGTTATTGCTGAAGCTCCGTGGGTACATTGGACCATTCATTTCAAAGTCAGAGAGAGAATACACTTGATGCATCAGTGACTCGGGCTCCTCCTCCTGGGACCTGCTCAGATGCTGTTTCAGGGCAGGGGCCTCCATGGGTACCTCAGGGAGACCCGCCCTGGCCCCGCCCACAGCCTGCCCGGCCCACATACTCTGCTTTCTGTTTCTGAGCAGAACCCACGTAAAGACATACTGTCTGGGGGTTCCGGATCCAATTCCAATGCGTTTGTGTCGGAGGCAGGTTCCCCACACCAGCAGGCCATGTTCAGGACGTTGGGTGTCCTACAGGTTAACTCAGTGCTGACAGTATCTTCCTGGAGATGGTGTCGGATCCCACAGGTGAGCGGTCAGTCCTACACGATGCCTGTCACAAGCCCCGGTTCTCACCTGTGCTTCCGACCAACTACAGATCGGAGGTTCCAGTGACTCCCCCGGCACAGGATGCCAATCCCACGTCCGGGTTGTTGCCTGCACTTCTGGCTGAGGGCGGCTGTCCATCAGAGCTTCCCCCGCCCCTTCCTTGGGTTCAATTAATTAGCTAGAGCAGCTCACAGAACTGGGAGTAAGTAAGTTCCAAAGCAATGTTTTTGTTATAAACGACAATATCACACACACACACACACTGATGTATTTTTTGTGGGTTTTTTTATATTTTTATGGATTTCAGAGAAGGGAGAGAGAGAAAGATAGAAACATCAATAGTGCGAGAGAATCATGGCTCGGCTGCCTCCTGCACACCCCCTACTGGGGATCGAGCCCGCAACCTGGGCCTGTGCCCTGACTGGGAATACAACCACGACCTCCTGGTTCATAGGTCGACCCCCAACCACTGAGCAACCCGTTCAGGTGGTTATTTGTCTGTCTCCTTCCTTGCCCACCATCACACTGTAACTATAAAGATCCATGAGACCAGAAAATGTCCTTTGATCACTGCTGTGTACCCAGCACCTGTCACACTGCCTAGTGTATAGCAGGCTTCATACATAGCGCTGCCTAAAGCGGCATCAGGGCCGGTAGTCGGGGCAGAGGTGGAGTTTCAGCGGAGAAAAGATGCCAGTGATTTGCATGAAGATAATTTAAGTTTGTAGCCTTCTTCACTGCTCAGGTTCCAATATCTTATTACAGGCAACAAGACTATATCCTTTAAAAGGAGAATAAAATGGGGTCGTTATTTTTAAAGAGACATTTCTATCACCTCATGTCTTTCTAAAGTTTTCATTACGAACAGTCGCCGCAGAACGGAGGGCCAGCATCTGATCTTACGTTATAATTACACTCCCTGTTCCCGGGCCTTTTCCTCGGAGCAGCGCCTCCACATTAGTTCCGCCTTTGCAGGTGGTGTTCTTTCCTTCCCCCCATAGATATTTCTCCAAAAGGCGAGGAAACGGAGCTCGAGTTAGTGAATGCGCTAATCCAGCCCACGGATTACTCAGCCGCAGGTCGCTCCACGGGGCTGGTGATCTTCGCCTTAGAATAGCCTTAGCATGGCTGCTTCGGAGCACTGCCCCAGAGAGGGCCCCTCGTAGCCACATCACAATGAAACCCAGGAGAACGAGGGAGGGAAAGCCGCCCCCACCCCCATGGGTTCACATCTGATGGGACATGGTGATGGCGATTGTCTCTTCTTCAGTCGAATCGAGCGCCACCCATGGCCTCGCTTTTCACGGGGCTTTTTTTGTTTTCCAAAAAAAATTCCAAACAAGTTAGGGGAAAATGCAGTTGAATACCTAATTATGATGTGATTTGCTTTTCCCCAGTAACATATCATTACACATGCACGTTTCTCTGGCATTCCATGACCCGGCCAGGTGTAACAGGACAGAGCCCGGGAGAGAGTGATGATGGAATAACATCATCATGGGCCATGACAGTTCAAGATTCTATTTGTTTTCTTTCCATCGGCCTGAGGGCTGAAGGGTCCGGGTTTGATTCCCGGTCAGGACACAGGCCCGGGTTGTGGGCTCCATCCCCAGTGGGGGGCGTGCAGGAGGCAGCCGATCCGTGATTCTCTCTCGTCTTTGACGTTTCTATCTCTGTCTCCCTCTCCCTCCCTCTCTGAAACCAATAAAAACATAAAAAAATAAACTACACGAATTCCCATGCTGGGTTTTGTGAAAGATGATGTGGGGGAAATTAGTGATGACACAGGACCAACCCTGGCTGCTTGCTTCCCGCAGTCCCAGTTCGGAGCCGCTGTTCCCGCCAGGCCCGCGCTGCCCCTCTTCCACACGCCCATCGACCTGGTGGACATCAGCGTGGAGATGGCGGGGCTGCGGTTCATCAATCCCTTCGGCCTCGCCAGCGCGACGCCCGCCACCAGCACCACGATGATCCGCAGGGCCTTTGAGGCCGGCTGGGGCTTCGCCCTGACCAAGACGTTCTCTCTGGACAAGGTAAGAAAATGCTCCTGAGCCGTGTTTCATGTCTAGCGTGTGTTCCCGTGAGGGCATAAGCCCTGTAGTGGGAAGATTCTTCTGACCAAGCAACGATCGTTATGAAACTACCGGACGAGACCTGTGAGTTCACATCCGTCTGTACTTTCCTTCTATTCCTTTGGTCCCATCGAAAGTGGGGTGCGGGTGGGGGGAGGTGTGGGGGGAGCATCTGTTTCTCATTTTGTTTTGTCTAGAAAGCATCAAAACTGTAAACATTACATAGCGGCTGTCTCATTTAAGAATCACCATCACACGAGTTCTTATTGTTTTGTGATTTCTGGGCGTGTGTGAGTGAGGACATGGGCCCCCACTCACAGGGAGACAGTGGGGTGGTCTGCACGTCGTCCCGGGATCTAGTTCATGTCAGAAGGAGTCTCGGGGTAAGTCATTGGTGCTGGTCACACCTAAGATTCTTCTCGAATTTTTAAATGCAGACACTTTGCCCAAAACACATCGGCTTGAGTTTCATTTGGCGTCGCGGTGGACTCTGTGCTCACGCCACCCGCACGCAGACCGAGGAGAAAGCAAACCACAGATTCCAGTCGATTCACTCTCTTAAAGGACACGAAGCACACGGGTGTGTTCGACCCGCGTGGGAGGAGTCGGCGGAGGGTGCCTCCCATGCCTGTGACTCAGGGATGAGCAGCAGAATCGAACATTTCTGAAACCTTTATTGATGGAATTTTAAATGCACAACCTATTGATGTATTTAGTGCTAACTGGTAGTTAGTAATAATTAATATATAAGAATGTGGGGATCCAGTGACTAGGAAAAGAGTATCATTATTTAAATCAGCCTGGTCCTCAGGCAAAGAAAATAATAGAGAACAAATCTGCCCATTAAGCACACTCTGCCGCTTCCCCGGAAGGCTCAGTCGCGGGCACCGTTATGGCGAGAACGCGGGCTGTCTCCCCCGGCAGCCTGACGAGGGGCGGTGAGCAGGCGGAGTCAAAAAAATCCAGGGAAGCCTCAGAAGTTAGGAGAACCATGGCGTGAGGAAAAGACTCCATGAATATATTATGTTCAAGTAGCTAAAGGGAGGTCCTTTTTCCAAAAAATATTGGCTCAATGTTTAGAAATATTCTGCTGAAGCAACGGGTAAAAACATATAGAACGCAGTGAATTAAGCTGTAGAATATCCTTAATCGATTCTTCACAACCTTGTGGAATATTGATCCCATATTTGTCTTTGTTTCAATCCATCCTTTACGAAGGGCTCAGAAGCCATCATCAGAGGTTGAACCCCCTGGGGAACACGGAGCCTCTAATAGCCCTGAACGGCGACATCGGTTACCGCACGTTAGCATGTTTATATGTAAGCCCAAATAGGGTGCTCATCGGGGACTCCTGAGGAAGTGTAGCCAAGATAAAACCCAAGCAAACCAGCCACAGCAGCCAGTGTTTGCTCTGGAGCTGCTGTTCTCTTTGCTTGCAAAATTGAATTCTGGTTCATCAGAGAAACCTGCCTTCCCTCCACCGGCGACAGGCATCGATTCGGGGCGCCGTCTCCTTCCGCAGCCCAGGGCAGCCCCCTTTATTAAGGCCAGCAGCAGAAGCCACTGTGGCCGCTCACTCCCTCCTAACCCTCCAATTTGAATCTAATCTCTCAGTTCCGGAGACTGTGGGGCCATTTCCGAAGGACAGTGATGAGCAAATGCAAATTGAATTTGGCACATAAAACAGAAGGGTGGGGTCAGGAGGCGCTCTGTCACACCCGGAGATGGGGGGGCGCACAGAGTATCTGCAAGGCTGTCTTACATGCACCTGTGAAGCTCGTACCGACCGAAGCAATGATGTCACCCTGGGTTACATAACGCCCGTTTCAGAAGCAGTGATTTTCCAGGCAGGCTTTTGCCCACTAGCCTACTTGCTTCCCAGAGATTTATTATGATGTTTGTTTGTTTGTTTCTGACATTGTCCCTAGTTACTAATGATGCCTGTTGTGAATAGAGATTTGCCTGTTGAGCTTTGGTGCCTTCCCACGTTTGAAATGCTGCGTATGCTCCCCAGTGGCACACACAGCCTCTACGAAAGCCGTCCGTTCCCGGGGTGTAAGCGCCCTACCTGTGTGACGTCAGAGCACAGCAGTTTAGACGCGCCCCCGGCCGGCCGGCCACTTATTATGCCAACGCAAGACTGCTCAGCGGGTGCTCACACGCAGGATCTTGGCATTTGCAGTGTGGGTGCTCTTCACATGACAGGTTATTTGTGGCGTTTTGTTATCATAGGAAATATTGATATTTCACGATACAGTTTTGATGCAGCGCCGTTTGCCGAGCCTACGTGGGACAGAGAAATTACAAGCCTGCCAGGAGGTCGGAGGTCGTAGAGATGAGAGCCCTGGCGGGGCAGTGTTGGAAGCTGTGTCCTCCTGTCCTGCTGGGGGCGAGGGAGTTAAGGGGGCTCCCCAGATTGGCAGCTGAATATGGCACTGATTCCTACAGCAGATGTGTTCAGGGGACTTTCTTTACCTTTCCTCCTACTAGGGGGTAGTTGGGAACATGCGTTTGATTTCCATCCGGTAGATCTCTCTATGCTCTTGGTGTTTCTCGGGGCCGGATTGAGGCCTCAGGCTGCAGCCATGGAGACCAGGGCCTTCCAGGGAGACGCCGTGGCTCTCTCGGCGCAGAGAAACCCTATCACTCCCTGCGCGGCCTGTGTAACGGCTGTATGGGCTTGCTGTAGGGAGGCGAGCGATCAGACGTCCCATGTCAGCTGCAAAAAGATCTGTGTCTGCTTCTGTGGGAAATGACGTGGAAGATGGCTTCCTCCCAGTCAGTCATTCCTCCCGTGTCCCCGCGTCCCGGCTCTCCTTTCCTCCGGGCCTGCTCGTGCTTTAGGAGGAGGATGTTTGCAGTGCCGCCATCCAAATGCTTAAACACATCACAGATCAGTTTATGTAAGTACATATTGAGTTCAGGTTGACATTTTGAAAAGGTGGGAGAGAAATCAATCTGCCTCCCTCAGTTTAAGCTAAACTATCAGGACATACCAGAGAAATGCTCAGAGTAACTGGGCAGGTTGCATAAAGTAACTCCTGACCTGTGTTCATATTGTGCTGATAGGAAATCAAAACATTTTGTTTTTGCCTGGCTAGTGGTTGAGCATCAACCTATGAACCAGCAGGTCACGGTTCAATTCCTGGTCAGGGCACATCCCCAGGTTGCGGGCCCGATCCCCAGAAGGGGATGTGCAGGAGGCAGCTGGCCAATGATTCTTTCTCAGCCTTGATGTTTCTTTCTCTCTTGCTCTCTCCCTCTCCCTTCTTCTTTCTGAAACCAATAAAAACATTAAAAAATTTTTGTTTTTGTTAATTACATCGTAACTTCTCTTCATCTCAGGTAACTACACATTACTGCAAACATATAACATCTAACTACAGGTTGCCTACACCTTCACCACAACACAGATAAATCGAGAAGTGTTTATCACTCTCCTAACCCAAGTTCAAGCCTAAGTGAAATTTCATTCTATTTATAAGTTGTATTTAGATATTAGTGAACTTGGGATTGACTTTTAGTAACAAAATGTCTTAGATGCACGTATGTCATTGTAATAACGTCAAATGATTGGATAAGTAGGTGAACACATGATGAGTTTCAACATAAAATACTGAAAAGTAAACACTGAGAAATATTAAAGGCTCTTCATTATTTCTTTGGACTCAAAGTATTGATTGTAGCTGTTCCATCAAATCCAGCCTCGTGGCACATCCACGCTCAGTGTCCAGGAAGAGTGTGATAAATGCGTCATAAACATTTGTTGCCTAAGCGAGTGAATAAATGAATAAATAGGTTTCTCGCAGCGGCATATTGAAGGGTTTTTTTTAAGGCCGTGTGAACAGACAGTTAACACCTAAAACATTGACTGCTCTGAGTATTGCTCCCAATCAGAGGCGAAAAGGCCAATTTAAAATGTTCACATCCTGTGTTTCTTTCTAGAGTGCGTGTCCATGTGAACATGGTCAGGGCACATGCCCGGGTTGGCAGGGCACGTGCCCGTGGGATTTCTAAGTGCGTGGGTCGTACAGGCAGACGCAGGTTGTTGAGTGAGCCTTAAAAAGGTTAAGAAGGCAGAGAAGGTGGGGGAACAGATCAGCGTGGCACAGGGTGAGGAAGGGACATGGACATTGTCTGGCCACTGTCCCAGGCCCTGTGTCCGTAGCCCTGACAGAAGACAAGCAGTTCTTGAATGCTTCCAGGGACACGGAACATGCGGAGTCCTGAGGGCGGTGCAGCCTGTCCAGCTGGGCACGGATCCTTGAGGAAAGCCGGCCTCTATTGATCACCAGCAATATTCCTTCCCGCCCCTGGCTCTGCCACTGAACCACAGGGCTGCTCTCTCCATCACGCATGTCAGCCCACCCACAGGGAGCGGCCGGCAACAGCCAGTGACCTGCTGAGGGTTCTGCAGGTGGGCAGGCCGCCTGGGGCCTCGCGGGCAGGGCTGGGCCTGGCTCTCCACGCCACGTGGTCTCGTCCTCAAGGACACGGCGCTGGGCTTGCTGGCGGGGCGGCCGTGTTTTTCACAGGCAGGAGGGGACGTGGCGAGGCCGCTCCCTTGTCCTATCGGCAAGCCTTTCCTTTTTTCTTTCTGAAGAGTTCTGCTGTCCTTCCCAGAACAAGATCTGCAGACTTTTTACCGTGTAGGTGGTCCTTTCTTCCATGTGGATCTCAAGACACTTGGTTCAGTCCATATGATCGTAGTTGCTCACGTTGGCACAGATCGCGAGCACCTGTCAAGCAGGCGGGAACGCAGGAGTCACGTCAGGACTGTACATGCTGAAAATAACCCTTAGGCTTGTTAGGAAACACTTCACAAACATGTTACAGAGCCGTGGTCTAGAGGCTGGGTATACCTGTTCGGATTACAAGACGGAAAAATCACAATTACTTTTGCAGTGCGTTTTAGCAATAAAGATCTGTACTTTCTTAAAGATTAAATGAAACATTTATTT